CTTTGGGTTCTTTTTTTTTTTTTTTTTTAAATTATTTTTTTTATAGGGAATTTTTTTCTTTTCTTTTTGGCCAGGATGGATGATTTTTGTTGAACAATTGAACAGAAATTGCCTTAAAAATATATAATTTAAATATATTATATGTATGTATGTTTGTTGGTTTTGGGTGGCTTTGTATTAACAAAATTTACTGAAAGATGAAGGCAAGTTCACAAATATTAGATTTTTTTTTTTTTTTTTTTGTGTGGGAATTCACAAATATTTATGAAATAAAATGCACTTGATGATATGATATTTTCATTAAGTATTATTCCATAATTCCCGAAGGATTTAATGCAATACAAATTTGGGAGAAAGTATTTCCGAATTATTCAAGAAATCTTCCATGAAGTTCCCAGAAATTATTTAAGTTGGGCTAAATGTTAGGGGGGGACCTTTTGCCCAACATGAGTGAAATGGGTTATAATGGAGGAATCATATTCTTTGGGCTCAAAATGGCAATGAATACAAACTAAGCCCACTTTTAAAAGACAAAGCCTGGCTTTCGTAGGTTTGAGCTGGTGGCGCCTCCTTCTGTTTGTGATTGCCTTCTTGTTGATGTTTGCAGCCTGGCCGGGCCTAGAGTAGCGGTTGTTTAGTTCTTTTGTTCTGGCCTTTTTGGCCCCTATCTCACCCGAAAAAAAAAGAAAAAAGAAGACAAAGCCTAGTTGGCAGTCGACTAAAATATACAAGTTACTGTGAAATTCTATAGTGAGGGTGCCATATATGGACCTTTTATGTGAGCTTCCATATTAGTCACATGATCATTTCATCAAACTTAAATGAAATTACTATTTAGATGAATCATGTGGCTAATATGAATGTCTACATCTATAGTCCATATATGACATCCTCACCATACAATCTTTTAGCAAATGGCATAAATTAGAAGTTTGAGTTTACGTGTATGTAAAATCACTCTTATTAACTTAATTTAAGCCCATAAAAACCCTTAATTTATGCCCCATCAAAGATGGAAATTTGTGTTATATCATCAAAAACAAAGCCCAAATTCATAATCAACACTAAACCACCCTTAATCATAATGTCATCAGGCTGGCCTTGAGTTTTTGAGAGCCCAAGGCAAAAATAAAGAACTATGCCCTTCTTACTGTGTTACAATATTTATTTATTTATTTATTTATTTTTATACTTATGTGTTAGAATCACCTACTTTTCAACATTTAAATAAAACCCAATTTTGAATTGAATGCCACCTACTTTTCAACATTTAAGTAAAATTATGTCTACAACTTTATTAAAATTGTTTAAGAATGGTTTAAGTCTTATTCTTTTATAAATGAATAACTTTTCTTCATTTAATCTTTTTAAATAACTTCATAATTTAATTTTTTGAACAATTTGACATAAAAAGCATAGTTTACAATAATAATTAGCTGGTCCATTTTAATAACTTCTCAACAACAACAAAAAGCATAGTTTAATCATAAATGGTGAATAATAAATATGAAAAATAATAATTAAGAATTAATATCAAAAGACATTGATATTTAACATTCAAAAACATTTTTTTTCAGCTAACAAAGTCTAACCCAGTGAAAAAGTGCCTTGACTTGCAGACAATAAGTCTAGATTCAAACCTCTATGACATCTTAGTTGTGTGTGTGTGAAAACACTCTCCCCTTTAGTTTAGACTATCTCACTTGTACTAAAAAAAAAAAAAAAATACTTTTTCAACATATCTTCAAACATAACACAAGCATGATACTGTAATATCAGAACAAATATCCTAAACCAACAGAATGCTTTGAGTTTTTGTTTTTGGACATAAATGCTTTCAAACTATTATTTAAAAAGATTTTTCATTTCAAGAAAAACTCTTATAAACAATCTACTTACAAGCCCAACATAACAAAGCTCAAGTTTAGTTTGTTTTAACGAGCAGAACTCGGCTTGGTTACAAATAGTAAAAAAGCCTCAATTCATGTTATACGTTAGCTTCCATTTGTCTACAACACTAAGAGCACTTCCACTTATTTACCATGGCAAAGGGCAAGGGCAAAGCAAGGCTGTTACTATTTACATGAATAGTGGCAGCCATTGCTTGTGGTGTTTCCACCCATTGTCATGACAACTACTATTCACATGAGATATTATGAGAGGAATTTGTATAGAGTTTTGGTGTAGGAAGTGAAGAATATGACTAAGTATTTATAATATAAAAAAATATGAAATTTTTTTGTTTTTTTTATATAGATTTTTTAATTTTAATTTTTTTTGGTTGCTGATGTCAGCAAACCCAAACTAGAGGTTAGGTTGGTTTGGCCTGCGGGCTGGCCCAGTCTCGTGGAACCCATGGCTTACCAAGGCAAGCTTGGCCCACTGGAAGCTGTTGGCGAGTCCTTACTTAGTTAGGATTTTGGTTCCTTACTATGTTAGGATTAGAGTTACTTATCATTTATTTAGTCATATTATAATTAAGATTTATTTCCTATTATAATTTATATTTATTTTCTATTGCAATTTAGATATTTCCTATTTTATTTAGGGTTAACACATCTTTGTACTTGTATAAATACCTCCATATTGGAGAAGAATAATAATATGAGAATATCTGAATTTTTTCCCCTACTTTGTTTGACTTGGTATCAGAGCCAGGTTCTCTTGTGATCTGTGCTTGCGTTCTTCTTGAAATTTAAGTGCTCTCCTCCCCTCATCTTCAAGGGGGGAGGGGGAGTGAAAGGGATACATTTATTGATGTATCCCCATTACTTTGATGTACACCCTCGAAGATGTTACTTATTTCTTGACTCCGACGACCCTTTCTCTTCAGGGGGAGAGGAGGAGTGAAGAGAAGTTTTGTCTACGTTAATTAACTCAAGTTTATATGGAAGAATTTATTGTTGCGGTTGTCGTTATTGTCACCGTTGATGTTGCTGTGTTCTGATTCGTCTCCACCTTAACCCTAAACACTACCTATTTCTGTTGCACTATACACCTAGCCTATAATCCTAGCCCGTCGCCGCTATCTATCTTGCTACCGTGTTGCTGCATTCCTTGCTACCGTCGTGTCTGTGTTTTGCCTTATCTACTACCGTGCTCACAGGGATTCTGTGTTCTGCCTTACCTACTGCCGTGCTCACAAGGTTTCTGTGTTCTGCCTATTTACTGCCATGCTCACAGGGCTTCTGTGTTCTGCCTTATCTACTGTTGTGCTCACAAGGCTTCTGTGTTATGCCTTATCTGCTGTCGTGCTCACAGGATTTTTGTGTTCTACATTATATGCTGCCGTGCTCACAAGGTTTCTGTGTTCTGCCTTACTTATTGCCGTGCTCATAGGGTTTCTGTGTTTTGCTATGTGCCCTATTTTTTAGGGTTTTCTCTTGTGTTTCCGCTGCAAACTTTGCTTTAGTTTGTCACTTGTTTCACTCGTGGTTGACTAAAAGACCTTCTCTACAATTGGTGCTTCTCAAGTATGGTGTTCAGCCCAACTTGAGGGAGAGTGTTAGCGAGTCCTTACTTAGTTAGGATTTTGGTTCCTTACTATGTTAGGATTTTAATTACTTACCATTTATCTAGTCATATTATAATTGAGATTTATTTCCTATTATAATTTATATTTATTTTCTATTGTAATTTAGATATATTTCCTATTTTATTTAGGGTTAACACATCTTTGTATTTGTATAAATACCTCAATATTGGATAAGAATAATAATATGAGAATATCTGAATTTTTTCCCCTACTTTGTTTGATTGAAGCTGTTGCATGGGCTTAGGTCCTATCCTGCCAGGGCTGGGGTTTATTGCTGGAAATGCTCTAACAGATAGACATGGCCGATTTTGAGAGTTTGAGGGCCTGTGTGAAAATTAAATAAGAGCCCTCACATAATCTAATATGAAAATATTCGATATATGTGTATAAAAGAGTTGATACATATCTTTCGGGAAAGACTGATCCATATCTAATATATTCCACAGTGTTTGTTGCACCTAAAATTGACAAGGTCATCCGAACCCAAGCCATTGATAGAAACTGGGATCTGTGTGTTTGCTTTAAATGATCAACTTATTGCATCATGGTCTCCTTTTATAGATGTTGGCATGCATTTATGATAATAATACAGATTCTGTATTGGTTATAATATTCTTCACGCGCACACACACGTACATTTATAATCTACGGGCGTAGTGGTGGTCTCTTGTTAGAGGATGATCTTTTAAAACTTTTTTTGTTGTTAAATATTTTTTGAGGAATTCCATTGTCATGATACTGAGGTTAATTGGAGGCTCAAAATTAAATACAAAGGTTGCTAATCTGCCTTGTCCCGTAGCTTTATCTTAACAATATTATGTGAATAAGCATGAATGCCACATCCCTTATATAGATGATCTGGAGTTGTATCAAGTCAATTTACAGTAATAAAAAAGAGGCCTAGCTAGAAGCCTCAGATTTTGGATTAGCTCTTGTTTTAGACAATTATTATAATTTCTTATTCCGTTGCATGCAAGGAGCTTGATCCTATTCAGTAGGTGTTAAATTTTTTGCTAAATCCGTCAGTCTTGCCCCTCTTCCCGTTCATTT